AAAAAAAAATTAGCCAGGTGTCTTGGTGCACACCTATAGTCCCAGGTACTCGGGAGGCTGAGGTGGGAGGATTGCTTGAACCCAGGGAGTGTGATAGCACTACTGTACTCCAGTCTGGGTTAACCAAGCAAGACCCTGTCTCAAATAAAAAAAGAGGATAGAAGGAGGGAGGAGAAGAGAAAGGAGGAGAGACAACAGCTAAAACAGTTCACATTTATAGTTGTGATTTGCCAGGGTGTTAAGGTCTTTATAATATTTTTTTCATTTAATGTTTACAATAAACAATAACCTTATGAGAAAGATATGTTACAAGTCTAGAAACCTTTAGCAACAATTCCAAAATCCAGTTTTTTTTCGTAACTCATTTACTGACAAAACTTGACCAGACCTGACCCAGCTGGGCAGCAAACCCTGACCCAGTAGTCTTCATTTCCCCACTTGGAGTTGCTCACAGGCATTGCTGCAGAACTGGGAACGTCGCTGATGGGGACACCGTCCCAGACCCCACTGCAGAGGGCTGTGTAAGGTTGCATTCCGTCTTACCTTTCCAAAGGTAAATTCTGAATTCAAAAATGCTGGAAGTTCTGAATTCAGAACCACATTGGGCCCCAAGGGTTACAGACAAGGGGTTGTGGATTCTGTATTCACCCCTTCTGGCAGGTGAGAAAACAGAAACCTCAGAGGCCGTAATCCTAGGAACCTGCCCATGCTCACACAGCCAGTAAGTGAATGTGCTGTAGAGACAGGATTCAATGCTGGGTCGGACTCACATTGGAGATGTCACTTGAAGGACTCCTGGCCCTTTCTAAGTATTATTAAAATTGAAAGCAACACAACCACCTTTGAGACGATGCTTTTAACTAAGTCAGAGATGTCACTTACGGAGCATGCCTCATGAATGAGTTCACTGTTCTTTAGAAGCTGGTAAGCAGCCATCACCCACTCACCCCGTTCCTGCTTTCTTCCTGGTTGCCCATTTCTCGAATCTTCTCCAAAATGGCATCCTCGGTGGACTCAGTCAAGCTTGATCCGCTGCTAAGGAGGGCTGCAATTTTCTCCCTGAATGAGGAGTGCTGACTTTGCGAGGCCGTGGCTGTATCCAGACTGGCCTTCAGACTCTTCTCCAGCTCACAAGAGCTTTGCTTCAGTAGGCTCAGCTCCTGCTTCGAGGCCTCCCAGACCCGCTGGCCAGCAAGCAGCCTTTCTCGGAAGACCTTAACTTCCCTTTCGAGAGCTGCTTTTGCTTCTAAAGCACTGAGCAAGTCCTGAAATGGTCACAGAAAGTGACAAGAACGTTAGTAGTCGACGAGGTACACCTGCAATGCTACAGCACTTCAATGACTACAAGGAGTTGGGTTAACTGTTCATGCTGTTTTTAGCTCCCTGCAATCTCTTCACGAAGTAATTAAATCATAAAGGATATGTGAGAAAAATATAAGTGTCTTAAAAACTTGAGAAGGGTTATAAAATCTGGGTTAGAAAAAAAGGAAGCATTGACACAGAAGCCTTTTCGGTGTGGACTGCTGAAGAGTATTAACAAAAACAAATCATTGGTTAACATACTAGTAGATTTAATCCTTGTATAGAATATATTTCTAGAACTATCTGTTCTCAAGTGTGGTATACATGGGCATCTATTTTTAATAAACAGTAAACTCTCAGAGTTCTAGCTAGGCACTAAAAAGTATTTGAATAAAGATGTCCCTGTAATACCATTTTAAATAATAGAGTAGTAATCTCATAAAAACATCATTGCATAAAGGAAAACCAGATTTTTATTCCAAGAGTCATTGACTTCCAATATTCATATTCATTGAGTATCCCCTTGTCTCATAAAGACAAAACTAACACAGACAAAACCTAAGAAAGGAGATCAAAATAACTAGCCATGGTGTGTGGTAGAATTAAGCAAAGAGGGAAAGTATTGTGTTGAGAAGAATCTTACAGAATAGAATATGTATGATTAGGTTCATAAAAATAATAAGGCCATAAGAGATGGCCCCTGTGCACCTACTCCTATTTACCATAATCCAGAATGGTCCCAAGAAGCACCAAAGTGGTATTTTCAAAATTAAGTTTATTTTTATTTCAATAGTTTTGGGAATACAAATGGTTTCTGGTTATATGGATGTACTGTATAGAATAATTCTGGACTTTAAATGTACCTACCACACACACTAGTACACATGACATCTTTAAAATTAACTTTAAAAAAAGGATTTGTTAACATCAGGTTTCAAAATACATGAATTCACATTTTGAAAGACCAAGTGATTGGTTAACCTGCACTGCTGCAGTATTGCTGTCTAGTAAACTGGCAAATTGTTTTTTATTAAAAATAGTATGTTGGGACAAAAAGCACTAAAAAGGAACCCAATATCTTTGAATAACAGATTCTACATTCAAATGGACTGAAAACACTTCAGTATACTAGTTAAAATGCAATCATTCCTTTTCCATTAGAGCAGGACTTTACAAGGAATTTATTTTTATCGACACCTTGGAGACAGGAAAAAGGAGAGCTCGAAACACTAGTTCCTATTTTTTATATAAAGCATAACATTAGTTTGGGGTTTGCTTTTGGTTTGGGTTTTTTTTGAGTCGGAGTCTCACTCCGTTGCCAAGGCTGGAGTGCAGTGGCATGCTACCAGACACCACAACCTTGACCTGCTGGGCTCAGGCAATCCTGCCACCTCAGCCTTCCAAGTAGCTGGAACGACAGGCACGTGCCACCACACCCAGCTAATTTTTTTATTTACTGTAGAGATGAGGTCTCACCAAGTTGTCCAAGCTGGTCTCGAACCCGTGGGCTCAGGCAAACCTCTCACCTCGGCCTCCCAAAGTGCTGGGATTATAGGCATGAACCACCGCACCCAGCCAACATCAGTTTTTATTAGGGTGACTTTTTGAAATCAAGGACTTCTCAGGCATAAATTTGAGAAAAAAAAAAATAGTCACAGAATGGTTAGAGCATTAGAGAAACCTGTCCTTTTCAGGGATGTAATAATTTAATTATGGCCTATTTTGCAAAATGCCTTGCTTTTCAAGGTCTTGGTTTCCCCTTTTCATTTCTTTTCCTTTTTAATTTTATTTTAGATTCAGGGGGGCATATACAGGTTGGTTACATGGGTATATTGCATGGTGGTGAGGTCTGAGCTTCTACTGAGGCCGTCACCCAGGTGGTGAGCATGGTACCCAATGGGTGGCTTTTCAGCCCTTGCCCTCCCCACTTCCTCCCCGCTTCAGGAGTCCCCAGTGTCTGTTTCCATCCTTATGCCCATATCCCCTTTTCCTTTCTAAACTAGTGTCTCTGTAGAGAAGCCCCACTGCTGCTAATTAAATTATGGCTCTTAACGTAGAGGCAAGGACAGTTTATCACAAGTTCAATATTTTAACAGTTTACAGATTTCTCTTCAGAGGGCAATACAATAGCTTCTCACTGGCTCAGTTCAAGTAGCCAGGATCAGTGTGGTGATAACAAATTGGACCCATATTTTAGATACTACATTTGTCCCTCGGTATCCTTGGGGGATTGGTTTCAGAACCCCAGAGGATACCACAATCTGAGGAGTACAATGGTGGAGTATTTGTACACAACCTACACACATTCTCCTGTATATTTTAAGTCATCTCTAGATTACTTATAATACAAAAGACCATGTAAATGCTTGGTAAATAATAGTTATACTGTATTTTTATTGGCATTATTTTTTATTGCTATATTGTTCTTTTGCATTCTTTCTCCGAATATTTTTTATCCACCATTCGTTGACCCCATGGATGCAGAACTTGGGGCTATGGAGGGGGCCCCAGTCAAATGTGTGATACAGAAATTGAATGCGTAGTCAGAAAATTGAGGTCCTAAATTTTTTTTTTTTTTTTTGAGTTGGAGTCTCACTCTGTCACCCAGGCTGAAGTGCAGTGGCACACTCATGGCCACCCCAGCTTCGACCTGTTGGGCTCCAGCAATCCTTCCGCCTCAGCCTTTCAAGTAGCTGGAACTACAGGTGTGTGCTACCACTCCCGGTTTTTTTTTTTTTTTTTTTTTTTTTTTACTGTACAGATGAGGTCTCGCCAAGTTGCCCGTGTTGATCCCAAACCCGTGGGCTCAGGCAATCCACTTGTCTCGGCCTCCCAAAGTGCTAAGATCACAGGCTGAGCCACCGAGCCCAGCTAGAGGCCCTGAATTTAAAGATGCAGGGATGAAAATGAATCCTTAATCACTGTAGAGTTGTAAAACCATTAAGGATGTTACAAATTCACTTTTATATTGAAAGAAAAGCCCTAGGAAAGTTTTCATGGTCAATAGAGGAATGTTTTTAACCAGTTACTGACAAAAGGCCTTCAGAATACACAAAAAACATATCAAATGCTTGCATACCATAGACTTACTGTCCATTTACAGTAGACTAATCAACTGGCAGCTAGCACCAGAAATCCAATAAACACAATTAAAATATTTCAGGCAGGGCACAGTGGCTCATGCCTGTAATCCCAGCACTTTGGGAGATCAAGGAAGGAGGATCACTTGATTTCAGGAGTTCAAGACCAGCTTGGGCAACATAGCAAGACTTCATCTCTACCAAAAAAAAATCATAAATGAGACAGGCAGGAGGCTGAGGCAGAATTTTCTGTGCCCTGGTGGTCAAGGCAATAGTGAGTTGTGATCTGTGCCACTACACTTCAGCCTGGGCAACTCCAGCCTGGCCAACTCAGTGATTTCACTGACTTAAAGAGAAGGGCCAAAACAATCAATCCTTTTTAACAAACCCAAAGCACAACATTTAGGTCTATTAAAAAATCACAAAATTGGTTTGTGTTCATAGAATACAGTAATGTCTGTCAGTGGGTTGGGTTTCTCTTCTCTGGACAGAAGTCCAGTGAACTGTAAGCAGTTTCTAATAAAAAATGCAGGTCTCAGGAGACAGAGTATTGAGAACAGCCACTCCCCTAGTACTCTGATTAAATGCTTCAGGATTCAGGAGCACCGGGCTGATCTGCTGAAAATAGACATCCACAAACTACAGATGCAATTACCTGTGTGGCTGTGGGGGGAAGACACCACTGTTACGTGGCTACTTCAAGGATACACTGAAGTACAGAGCAGAAAGTAATGTGACATTGGTCCTGTGGGCCAGGGCCAGGAGCCTGCTGTCAGACCACACTGACTCACAGAATGAGAAACAAATCACTTCCTCCGAGCAAAGGCAGGGCTGACCTTCACAGAGGAAATCACATTCATAAATGACCCAATGTAGACAGTGATGGGGATCACTTAAAAAATTGTTTCCACAGCCAGGCTCGGTGGCTCAGCCTGTAATCCTGCGCCTTTGGGAGGTGAGGTGAGTGGATTGCCTGAGCCTGTAGGTTCGAGACCCGCCTGGGCAGTGAGACCTCATCTCTACAGTAAATCAAAAAATCAGCCAGGCATGGTAGCGCATGCCTGTAATTCCAGCTACTTGGAAGACTGAGGCGGAAGGATCGCCAGAGCCCAGCAGGTCGAGGCTGCGGTGGCCGGGAGCGGCCACTGCACTCCAGTCTGGGCAACAGAGTGAGACTACAACTCAAAAAAAACAAAAAAAAAATTTGTTTTCATAATTAATGAATCTTTAGTTTTGGTCTAATATGACAAATAAATAATGACCCCTTCACAATTACTTTTAACAAAGATGTTTATAAATAACAGGATTTTGGCATTCAATTTAGCTTCCCATTTAAATACACGAGTCTGCATGAAGTAATGAAACCATCCAAAGTTTTGTGTTTTTAAAACAATTGATTCCTGTTATAATGCCACTAAATATTATATTGGTTTGGAAGCACATGAGATCAAATTGCCTCTCAAAAATACAATGACTAATTATCATCAGCATGGAGAACTTTTGGCTTGAGCCTAATTCCTCCAATCCTAGATCAATTTTATAAAATAAAAAATCAGCCAGTTAATCCTACTTACTGCAGTTATGATTAACAAATAAACTCAGAAATGTCCCCCAAACATGTCTCTCATATATTGCGAGGGGTAGTGTGAATAGGTACAATTTTGGTATAAATTATTGGTATAAACACCTAACAAAACTTCACATACATGTATCTTTTGGTCCTGTAATTCTGCCCCTAAACATATATCTGTAGGACAGATTACTAAATAAGGAATATGAGGAATATGTAGTTATTCAATTATAATATAGCAAAAGATTAGGTGCTACATGAATATTCATTTATATATGACTGCTTAAACTAATATGAAACACCCATACCCCTA